GGGCATCGGGTGGCTGGCTCGAGCTGTGCCAGGTGCAGGGTCTGCTAGCTGGGTGCTGGCAGTCTTGCACCTGGCACGGGCACCGTAACCAGCCCGTGCCCCTTTAAGGAGTCCGGGGCCGGGAGGGGGACAATAAGAGTTTCCCTGGTGTTGGCCAGAGTTGCCACCAGGGAAAGCTGGGGAGGGCTAGCCTCCCACTAGTTCGAATTAAGGGGCTACACACTCCTTAATTTGAACTAGTAAGTTTGAACTAGGCTTAGTCTTCATGCAATGAGGTTTACCTAGTTTGAACTAAGCGCTCCGCTAGTTCGAATTAAGTTCGAACTAGCGGAGCACTAGCGTAGCGCCTATCAAAGTTAATTCGAACTAACGTCCTTTAGTTCGAATTAACTTTGTAGTGTAGACATACCCTCAGTGAAAGAGACAAGCTTTCAAGATGAACAACATTGAAGAAGAGCTCTGTTTAGCCCAAAAGCTTGTTACTCTCAGCAAAAGAAGTTGGTCCAGTAAAAGATATTATTTTACTTATCCTTTTTATCTAAACATGCTTGAAAAGTGTCTCTTGGCAATGAGAACTGATAATATTTATTGAGCAAAATGCTCTGTAAATCTCCTTTAGAACTGGATACTGGTGATATACCTATAATGGGATACAGGCTGAATTTAAGGCAATTAAGCATCCAACTCTCTGAAATTTGGCTTTACTTCCTTAGATTTACTGATTCCACAGCTAGAAAGGATGGTTGTGACCATCTAGTCTGACCTCTTGTGTAACACAGTCCAGAGAACTTCCTCCAAATAATTCCTAGAGAATATATTTTAGACAAAAATGTCTTGACATTTTATCCAATCTTCATTTACTTTCCCTGAGTGACTTTAGAGTGGAACAACAGTAAACAATAGGTAGGAGAAATAATGGTGATAACCCCATTATAGAGGCTTTAAATATCATATTTAGTGGAGTATATCACTTTACAGCAGCAGCTCCTTACCACCAGTGAACTGCTGGCTGCTGGGACGTGGGGACTCTGGGGGTCAGGGCTGGGATCAGGGTTTCCTTGCCCACCCCTTGAGCAGAGCCACGCAGTCACAACCCCAGCTACTCCTGGGGGTAGGGCCACCCTGTCCCACCCCAGGAGCAGCTGGGCAGTCACCATGCAGCCTGTGTGGTGGCTGCCATAGCTGAAGCCTGAGTTGCAGTACTAAAATGTTGCCAGTCCACCAAAGGTTTATAAATGTGTTTGCAGGTCTCTGGCATAAAAAAGGTTGGGAGCCACTGCCTTTCAGTATGAGAATAAACAGTCTGGAACATATATTCTTTTTGGCATTTTACATACTGAGTAGACAACAGCAACTACAATATATAAACAATCTATAAAAAATGTATAATCAAGCATTGCAAAAGTCTCTGGGTTAAATTTTCAGTTGATGAAAATTGGTGTAGCTCCATTGAAGTTACTAGTGAATAAATAGTATCTTGACATGCATCTGACGAAGTGGGTTTTTGCCCACGAAAGCTTATGCTCCAACACTTCAGTTAGTCTATAAGGTGCCACAGGACTTTTCCCCATTTTTAGTGAATAATTAACAGCTAGCACAATCACAATATTCATGCCATATTATGCTTCCCATGAATATCCTCACACACATGAGCAAGCAAGTTGTTTGTGCAAATGTTCATGTAAAAAACGAATAAAAAGTTGTGAATTAAAGTGAATTGAATTGATCTGTGATCA